CCACACCCACACCCACACCCCACACCCACACCCCACCCTCAAGGTATGACCTGACGGGTATACGCATCACCACACCTATATATACTCACTCATTCTATCCATTCGAATTTCGTTTTTGCCTTTCGATTGTTTCTCGTTCTTCTTGTTGTTTTTTTATAAATAAAGATAGAAACCAGTACTAACAACCCTCATTAATTATCAAAAATTATTGGTTCAAATTTTTATCAAATGCTAGTTACATTAGTTGTTCTATTTCCTGAAATTTTCATCGAAATCTGTTGTACCGTTTAGAAGATAGATTTCGGAGTGGGGCCCCCCTTAAATCATAATGTTCGTTGCAGTTCTACACTTCATTTTCTCTATTTTACGTAGGTTCTTGATTGGCCATCTTATTTCCATTGTTTCAAAGTCTATGTAGTTTTTTCGAAAAAACTTTAACTACAGTTCAATACAGAATAATTTTCTCTATCGACTGATATCAATTGAAACTCCGGTCTCGTGAAAAAGTCCCAGAGGGTGCCATAAGTAGTGCATTTGATATTGACTTATGTTAACATGACTCATTTTTTGCTCTAACAGTGTACTAAGATGATATCTTTCCTATCTGTTCCCTTTCATTGTGGTCGTTATGAATAGGTAAATTAATCGATTGCACATAAAAAAGAAATTTTTTTACGATAAATATGATTTAATCACGATGACACAAAATAGCACATTTACTTAATAGGCAAAAACTGTCATGAATGAATAGAAGTAGAAATTATCTAATGTATTTGTAATTTATGTTTTTGCAAATATTAAAAAAAGGAAATGAATCATTTTTTTAGGTAGAATTTCGTTTATGATATTGACTCATATTAATTATCTACTTGGTAAAAACCCTGTTTGGTTTGTTGCTTGACTAGTATAAATAACAATATTGTTATTCATGTAAAAAAATGTTATGAGTGTGTGGCTGAAACTTCTATGAACAACTATTAGATTGACAGTAAGTATTAGTTTAATGACCCCATGACATTATATATGCTTTATTGATCATTGATTTAATATTCCTTGTCGTTGAGCATTGAACATATTCTGGATTCGTTTAAAATTGTTATTTCTCTTTTCATATTTGATTTTTATATCGATCGTCGCCTATCGACGTCATTATTATTTTAGTCAGGTATCAAACAAGCGGAAGTTTTTACAGTTATCAATATATTCTATGTCTTCTTCATTTCTCTTATTGTTGATGTCTATTATTTCTGATGATGAGACAGTCATTACGTTATACTAATGAAATTTACTATTTACCTCTTCGTTCCGTCATACTAACATTAATAATTGACATCAATTAAAAGAAGAAGGAGAAACATGTAAGTGTCTGATGTTATGACTAATGACCAAGACTATGCAACGTGACGGAATACAAACAGAACGGAGAAAAAGATACTCCTTTCACGCGACTCGAACCACGCACATTCTGCTTACCGGGTAGATGCACTACCATTCTACCGGAAGAGATATCTCATCTCCGTTTTACGGCCGTAGGGGAATATTACGGACATAACAGAGCAAATATATAAACATAAATTAATTGTTAGTTGCTGTATATCTGACGAAGCAGAATATTTCAAAACGAATCTATCTACTTTGTTTTTTTTTCTACTAAAATTAAATGAAATCAAACTGTTAAAACTATGATAATAACGTTCAAGGCTCTTTCTCGAGCTAATAAAATCAAGCTCAAGTCCTTTGGGGAGTTCGTTCCGTAATTTGACACGCTTCCTTTTTTTCTTTTTTCTAACGTTAATACGTGACGTGTCATCGTAGTAGTCTATTTTTGTTTATTCACTATAAATGCAAATCACAACAATCATGCAACTAAATATGAAGTTTCGTTTTATTTCGATATTGTCAAAGTGGTTTATCCATTCTTACTATAGAACAACAATGAATTTGAGTCATTTGTTTGATTACGAGAATATATACCAACTAGCTCGATACGTAGTTCTCAATATTGAAATATTTAGTGTAAGGCTCCGTAATTGCATAGAATTAAAAATGAGTATTTCTCAAGACCTGCAGTGAAGAAACAAAAAAAAGTTCTGTAATCAATGAGCCAAGCAAGACTATATTATAGCATAGTAGTTCATAGTCGAATTAATGTTAGCATGAAGTATTTTCTCTCTAGGAAACACCTATAATTTTCCGAAGCTTTGTCATATTTTTTTTATTAGAAAATACTCCACATACTAATAGTAAAAGTCAATTTTGAAACTCCGTACTGGCACAATCATTTTTCATTCGAAGACATGAAAAGCATGCTTGTCCGCATGTTTCGTTGCTTTCTTTGTGAATCATTTTAGATATATACAAGATTTTCGTTTTAGAAGAATATTACTATGAACTCTTTCGATATGGATTCAATATAATCTGCTTACGATTTCTAATTATGTCTGATCAATACGCTTTCTTCGATAATGATCTGAAATCAGTTTGTCGAGATGCCGCAAGGGTCTAGTACTGTTCAAAACTATAAAAAAGTAATTTCTCATCGAGCAACAAAACGACAAAACTGCCAACATTCAGCCCTTTTCGAAATGACTAAGAAAATATGGAAATTCCTGTCTAATGTTGAGACCTAGGTAGAAAATACGGAAATTTTCGAAAGTTCTTGTTCCTTCTACGGTAGGGTCTCCTTCTTTTTACAGAATAGATATTTTAGAATTACCCAATGACAAAGTACGGTTAGTTTTTACTAACGCAGATTATGTTCGTTTATATCATTCGCGAATTTCTTTTTCGTTTTCTTTTCCTCGTTCACAAAAAAGTGGCATTTTATTTGACACTACGTATTCTTTAGATTAAATGCCGATAAAAGTAGAAGATCATGAACACCTTATCGTTGTTGTATCTGGTGGCGGACCAGTTGGTCTCACATTTGCACTTCACTTAACGATGATGATGGGTAAACATGTGAAAATATTTATTTATGAGGGACGTTGGATTGTTGATCAACAAGGTAGAATACAATGGCAAGGTGGAAAACAAGGCAAAACACGTCGTGATCAAGTTGTTACATTACAAGATCATGTTATAAAACAAATGCCTGAGTATATACAACAAGGTCTTTTTCAAAATATAAATGAATGTGTTTGGCCAACATCAAGAAATATTCCAATTAGAGAAGTCGAAGATCGTCTCCTTGACTTAATACAACCATTTGTTCATAGTGGTCAAATAGAACTCATTCCAGAAAATTTGCATGAGCAATCAGAATGTCTTATAAAAGGTATTTTTGTTTTAATTGTTATTAAATTAAATTATTATTTTCAGGAAATTTTGATCTATTGGTTGGTACAGATGGTTCTAATTCATTTGTACGTCGCTACTGTAATATTCAAATGATGAGTGAAGGTCTTGAATATGCATGTGGTGTAGCTTATGATATTCCAGATAATGTTCCACCAACAGAAGAACCATTACATCAAGCACTTAATTGTATTTTAACTGTGTCTCAAACACGTTACTTAGTTAATTCATCTACAAGTCGTCGTGGTTATTTAAATGTTCGTCTAACTCAAGATGAATATGACGAATTACAAAGCCGTTTAGAAACATTTCAATTACGTAATGAATCATTAGATTTATTAGATTACAATAAATGTCCACAATCACCTGTATGGACAATTATACGACAAGGTTTAGACTTTTTTAAAATATCACCAAAATATGTTTCCCGTGTTGTACTCATTGAAATTAACGTTCGTCATGCATCCATTGTTGCTCGTGAGCTTCGTTATGAAATTGAAACAGATCCACAAAAAGCTAATAAATATAATGAAAAAAAGTATAAAACTGCGTTAGCTTTTCTTGCTGGTGATGCAGCAATGAGTGTTCATTTTTGGCCTGGTCGTGGAATGAATAGTGGAATGAAAGCTGCTATTGCATTAGCACGTAATATTCTTCGTGCATGCACATCAAATAATGCAATAAATATACGTAAACCATTACGATTTTTAGACTTCCTTGATTATGAAGGTTTCATGGCTCGTCTTCGTGCACGTGAACAACAAGGTCGTTCACTACGTGTTCTGGTTGATCCAATTGATAAATCTGTTGAAGAAGCTTATTCATATGCACATAATCCTTATTGTTATGAACGATATATAACAAATTTAATTCATAAATTAAAAATAACTCGACAGCGTCTACAAGAAAATCCTGAATGGCCTCATAAATCAAGACCAATTACAGATGATGAATTACAAACTCTATCAAATCGCACAGCACCATATGCTGTTGCACAATTATCCTTAGCAAATCCATGGCCAACACGAGAAATGAGTGGAGCTGAGGTTCTCGTTGAACATATGTTTCCATATGATTTGAATAGATGTTCACCTCTGCCTGTAACAAGATGTCCAAGTTTACATCGTACAAATTCAATGATGATTCGTTGTAATTTTCAAATATTATGGATTATAGATGATAATAAAAATGAAAATATTAAAAATATTTTTAAAGATATTGAAAATTCACAAAATACTCTTCGATTATCAACAAATAAAGATTGTGATTATCAAATGACTTCTGTTCAAACAATAGATCAAGCTAAACAATGGTTAACAACTAATCAAGAATCACTTCGACAACCACATATTAGACTTAAAGTTATTACTTTATGGACAATAGAAAAGGATAAAACAGCAATCAATGTCATTAGAGCTGTTCGGTCCATATGTCTACGTGTACCTATTCTAATATTTACAACTAAACAAGATAAAATACGAGCAGCACTTGAATTTCCGAATGTCGTTGCAACTGATAAAGAATATGAAGTGAAAGAATTTGTGGGACTTAATCAAGGACCACTATGGAATGCCGGTTGTCAAGTATCGTATACAATGATGGAGTCATTTGGCAACAAAGGAATACAACCATTACCAATAGTAACATCTGATACAAGTAAGTATTACAGAAATATTCATTAAACTTTTCTCAATAGATAACAAATAGACCTGCTACACTACTATTAGCAGTAATCAGTAATAACTTATAGCGTTATTACTTATTACTAGTAACAGTAATAATTTGAAAAATAATAAGAGTAATAAAAGTAACAAAGTAATAAAGTAATGTAGTAATAAGCAATAAAAATTATTAACAATTATTGAGTAAAAGTAATCAAAATTAATAATAATCTAGCATCTCCAATAACAAAACAATGCTTCACACGATGGAAACCTATTTTCATCTTTTGCTTTATGATCTTGACGATACTAGAAATATGCTAAGTCATAATTTAATTTATTTTTCATTTGTCGAAATCTGCAAGTGTGATTTTTTTCTGAAATTGAAATCAGAATCGACTATTTCGATACGAAATCGCTCATCCTTAGCTAAGATTTCTAAATATTATGTTTGAACTGCATCTATTATGATTGATTGCAAACTGATCTTCATAACGGTGTGATTGATAACATAAGTGATTAGTAGAAATCTATGCTCCACTATCATTTTCAATCACATAAACTGATTTCAGTTCTATTACATTATTCGAAGAACTATTTTTGAAGACGAGATATTGATTTGAGTTTACTTTTCTGATCTAGGAAATTCAAGAATCCCTTAGACATTACAGTATCCAGAAGTTGATATTTCATTAAATTCAAATGAATCAAATTTCCTACCTCTTCCTCCATATGACTTTTTACCCATGCATTTATCATTATCATCCTCGTCGGATTCCTCGGAACTTGACATACTAAAACCTTCGCAAAGCGCAATCCCTGCAGGATTAAACTGTAAAGCATGATGTAATTGTTGTGACGAGCTGCATGATTTTGCTTTTTTTCGATATACTGTTGGATGCATCCTTTCATGACTTTTTACTTCATCCTATAGAACTACAGCAAGAAAGCAGATGTTATCAAGGGATGTGATGAGGATAGATTTCCTCTATCACGGTCTATGAGAGAAGGAGGTACAAAATTTCTATACTTTATACATCAATAGTTCATTTAGATTGTGTTTCACAAAATGCGATGCTCCTTTGGATTGACTCACCTAAAAATGATCCACAGTTAACCGAAGCAGTTCAAACAAATTATCCTTCATTAAAAATCAATTTTCAACCAACTTACCAAGATGCACGAAAATATTTAAATGACAATGCATATGACATACGAAAACGAGAAATATTTATTACTATATGTCGAGCTTATTATACAAAAGAATCAAAATGTTTTACAGATGTTGTGCAACTTTTTCGTGATCTGGGCATCGGAAATAGACCTATAGCAGTTTATACTTTAAGTAAAATAGTTTTACTGGAAAAAACACCAGATCTTCCAACAGGAATTGAGGTGTATGACAATCCAGATGAATTATTTACATTTATAAGTCGGTATCTGGCAAAAACAATTTAATAGATCTATTCTATATAATTTTATGTATATAAAAAATCAATTAAGTTGATTAATAAATTTATTGCTGAAAAGAATCAGGGTGTGCGTGTGGGGTGTGGGTTTGAGTGTGATGAGAAGACTTACACCCACACCCACACCCACACCCACACCCACACCCACACCCACACCCACACCCACACCCACACCCACACCCACACCCACACCCACACCCACACCCACACCCA